ACCTGCTACATATGCCTCCCAAATTTTGTAGCTCTAGGCCAAACGTGCTTCCAACGGGACTCTGTTCAAATTTTCTAGGGGGCGCTGTGGAGCCATTTTACCATTGACATGCTCAATTTTTTGCCAGTCCTGATATGCGAGCAAGTTTTCGAGCATGTTTGGGCCCTCAAAATCGCGTTTGTTTTTGGTGAAAATGAAAGCATATTAGTCACACCGGTTGCAACAGGGTCCTTGCACTGTTAGTGCTTGAACCCTAATAAATATTTTGTCATTTTTTAAATGTAATTATAACTATGCAGAAGAACGACACACTAGACTAAGATGCATACTCACATACTGTATCTACACTGAATTTATAAGAATTTTATACTTTCAACATTTACAATACAATCAAAATATTGCTTGTCATCTGCTCTTGAATTTACTTTTTATAATGTTCAAGAGAAACTGTGACGGTGATCCTCACATCATCAGACGAAGCATATTTTCAGCACTATAAGCCAAGTCAGTCAAAGGATCCCTACCTGCCCCACAGCATCTCCCAGCCTCATGATCTGTGCAGACTGTCCGCTGGTCTGAGCCCTGGAGGAGAACAGCATGATCTCCAGGTCGGCCACATTGGAGAATTTAGGGTGTACTTTTTCATTTGGATCCACAAAGTGCTCAATCTCAGCCATGGTGAACTCCCTGCAAGCAGAAGAAAATTCCACTCAGCTCTGAGTGTAATGCAGAGATAAGTGATTTTAAACAGCTGGAGTCTCTGGTTACCTAACACGAATGAGTCCAGAGCGAGGAGAGATTTCGTTCCTGAAGGAGTTTCCGATCTGAGCGGCACCGAAGGGAAGCTTTCCCTGGTTGAACTCCAGCAGACGCTTGAAGTTGAGGAACATCCCCTGAGCAGTTTCAGGCCTCAAATAGCTGCAATTTCCAAATTAATACAAACTGTTTTAATACAGCATTGGTTTTCTCATATAAGACACTGTGCTGTGATGCAGTGGCTGGTACCCAGGCATGTTTCCTCCTGGACCGATGGACGTTTGAAACATCAGGTTGAAGGAGGTGGGAGGTGTGAGCTCATTTCCAGTGGAGGGAGACTTGACGCTGAATTTTACAAACAGATCAGCCAGCTCCTGCTGAGTGTAGTTATCCATCTGAAAAGAGGCGAACACAAACGCATCAGAGGATTGTTTTCTGACCAACAGATGTCAGTGTTTCTATGCCTCTGTGTTTATGAAACACACACCTGAGTGATCACATCCTCCATCTCAGTCACCTTCTCCGCTGAGCATTTCTCATCAGACATCAGCTTCTTCAAGTGAGCTGTGAGGAAACAAACAAGCAATTTAGCAGCAGTGACTCATGTAATCAGCCTAGTCTGATTCATTACAGTGTCATCTGTAATCAATTTAGTTTTGGGGGAAAAAAAATATCACATGGTCTAAAACAGATAAAACAGACGTTCATTAATCCCAAAGGAAAGTTTTGAACAAGGTGTTGCTCAGAAAAATGATGAAAACACGAGTCTGACTGCAGTCTCTAACAGAAAACGTATAAGACAGAAGTAAATTCATATAAAACAAGCATGCTAAAAAAAGAGGAATAGAATAGATAATGCACGTAACACTGAAATGCTGCCCATCAAAATGAAATATTGCATCACAGAGTAGTTTCCTCAGCATCGTCCTCTCCAAATAAAACTCTATAGAATTTATATCAAACACAGTAGGAGAGGTTTTACAAACAAACCCTTACAGACAATATGAAGCTTGCAAAAAATGGAAATGTGCACTTTACGCTGAATCCTTTAACCCTGAGTCCATGTTAGTTTTGGCTATTTTTTTGCAGACTTTCTATGCATTCATTTCTATTTTTGTTGCACCTTTTAGACTGTCTCTACTCCATATGCACTGTATTATTTTTTTTTTTGGCACAAAATGTGTCTGAAATTTTGTTCAGTTTAACAAATATAAAGCTGCCTACAACATAGGAAACATAAAACATGACACATGCACCTAATTGATAACAACTAATAAAAAAAAACACAATAAAACAGTTCGGTTTAAAATATTTAAAATAAAAATGTTTCACTTTTTATACACATGATTACAGCAGAAAATAAAAGTGAGACATAAAACCATCATCTATTTACTGTAAATGAAACTAATTTTGTGTCTTATTTTTAAAAAAATACTATGATCTAACAGACACCTGTAGTCTAAACCCTGCTCGGTGTGTTTATTCATTGAATCCCTTTTGAGGAATACCTGAAAAACAAGTTGCCAAGGAAACCTGAGCTCCTGCTCCAACCTGCCTCACCTCGACCTACAACTCACCTGAGGACATACAACTCATCAAGGCAGGTAAAAGCCTGCTCATGTGGATGACCTGACACATTCTCTGCAGAAAAGCATCCAGAATGTTAGAAAATATGCTGAAAACCTAGCAGCTGCTGGAATGCTGTGATGTATTTTGACAGCATGTAGTTATTTCGACCAGTTTCTGCTCTGTTCAGCATCTCTTCAGGGAGGAAATATGACACCTTGTTAGTTAAGCAGGAGCATAATGGAAGCTTAAGGGAGGCAGGGCTCATTTTAGCTCTCTAACTGACATGAAGGTCGAAGGTTAAAGTCACCTTTGAGAAGATGATCTGCGCGGTAGCATTCTCCAGTCTTGGCGTCTTTCACCATGTAGTCAGCAAACTTATCCACGTGTCCAGACGTCCTGAAGGGAGGAAACAGGTTTTAGGACGTGAAATTTAAATTTGTTCTTTCTCAGTTAAGAGCAGTTGGTGTGTACTTGAGGACGGGTTCGGGGGTCAGCATGGTGCAGTCGATCTCCAGGATCTGCTCCTCCTGGATGAAGTGCTGCCTCCAGGCCTGCAGGATGTTGTTCTTCAGGGCACAGCCGACCGGGCCGAAGTCGTACAGGCCGCTCACGCCTCAGAAAGACAAAACCATCAATGATTAAACAAGAGTTAAGTTTAAGATTTTGATGAGCTCTCTATGTTTCCACTGTCTAGGATGTCACTTAAAACGTTGCTGGTATTTCACCTCCATATATAGCAAAAGCCTGATCGTAGAAGAATCTCCTCTTTAGCGTATCGTCCAGCTTCACTCTATCCACGGTGTCATCTTTGGGCTGCAGAGCCAGCTCCTAGAGGAGGAAACCCTGGGTTCTAGCATTATTTTGTTTAAACACAGTAGGAGTCCAGAATGGCATGTGAAGAAAATATCACAGCATGAGATTGCAAAGAGGAACCGACGGATGTCAAAGATTCATCAGCAGTTGGGAGACTCTGACCTTTGCTTCAAGGATCTTCTTGCGGGCTTTCAGCTCTGCAGCAGCTTTGCTCACCTCCTGCTCTGAGGCACCTATTTCCTTCAGCTGATGCAACAAATCACCCTGCAGGAAAAACAAAACCACACACACACACACTTTACCTCCTCTTTGCACCTAAAGTCAGCACTGTACATCTGAAACTTGAGCCTGAATTTCTGAATTTTTGTAAGGAGCCAGTTAAAGAGCATTGAGGTTGAATGAAGAGAAGAGAGAAAGCCTCTAATTTTAACTTTTTTTTCCTCTTGAGGCTCCATGTGTGTTTAGTGCAGTATAATAATGTGGTGATGTAATGTTCAGTTTGACAAATGTGACATAAATTAAATGTGAAATGCCATGGTTCCAAAAAGGCGCAACGTTTGCATTTTCACAGTTTTACTTTTGCTTTCATCTTCATAAATGACAAAAACTGTTATGTACAGTTATTATATTAACTGTTATATTAAAACTAAAAGTGAATAATAGCTTTTTGTTTCTTGCATTTTCTAACCATGCTGCGCACAACTGAAACTGACATCACAATAATAAAACGATCACTTTCAAGTATCTAAAGAGACCTGCGCTCAGTGCGCTGGAGCCATCAGGGCTGAACAGCGGATCTCCAATCAGCGCTGGATATCAGTGCGTAAAGCTACAAAAAATTTGGCTCAGGTTTGCGCAGGTTGTATTTGCAGATGCGATACCTGCCAGAATAGCTCACCTGTTCCCTCACAGCCTTCCTCAGAGGAGCCAGAGATTCTTCCATCTTCTCACTCTGTGCGCCACGCTGCGCTCCTCCTGCAGATCTGTTGTTTCCACGTTTGCGTCAAGTTTTTCTTCAGTCTGCGGTAGAACGAGGGGAGGCGCCTGTGTGTGTGTTTGCAGTCTGTCCGTGGTAAACTTGACTTGTCTGTAACTGGGGCTTTTTGTTGCATCATTCAGGAAGCTCAGATAAAATCTAAACACTCTGCCATGAAGATAGAAGTGTGCACATAGCTCTGTGGTTCTGCCTCTCCATGGAGCCTCATCAGCAGCAGCAGCTCACTATATTACATGCAATGAGCAGCTGAAAATATTTGCTTATTTGAGAGGATTTATAACGGTTGTATTTGCATATGATGCGTACTGATTTCCTCTTCAAGCCTCTAGTTGTTTTGCAGTTCTCGCAGCACAGTTTCCTTTTCTTGGTATGTTGCTCCTGCTTTGTTTGTTTGTTAAATGTGCAAAAACAAAAACACAATGTGGCCTCTGGCAGAAATAACTTGTTGTGACCCTTCGGCTCATACTTGTGTCCACTTTGCACACAGAGGACACATAGTAAACATATTTTGTGTAGTGGGACCCAGTAATGTGGTTATTTAATAAAAACAAATGCATCATGTGAGCTCAGTATAAACACAACTGAGATATTTAATACTAGATAGTGGTGTTAAGCTCTTACAATAGAAATTAAGAATGCAAATGTCACTTTAAAGGAGAAAAGGGGAACTCGAAGGCCCTTTAATCCGATTCAGGACCTTCATGTTGCCATATGTAGAAGGTCTTTCGGGTCCTCAAGGAAGAATATGTGCAAAATATTTGTTGGTATTCATTATAGACTTTTATATTTATATTTTTAAAAAATCTTAAAAAATAAAAAACAACACCTGTTACCTAAACCACATGGCCTGGGGTCCAAAATACCCCAAAAGTCCTGAATAGGGTTAGGACCCTGTGTTTTGGTGTGAGTAAGTCTAAAAAGTACATATGGGAAATGATATTCTATGTCTAGTAGTGAGGAATCATGTGGCACCTGCTAGTAGTTACATCTAACATTCAGTATGATTACTGCTGCTTTATTTTCATTCTCCATAGATTCACCTTAAATATAAACTAAGATACAAAGCAGCAAACATGCAGATTCTTTTTTAAACTAAATTTGCACTTTTATGCTTTAATTCTACTCTTGATTTTTCTTCTAAATTCTTTCATGATGTTCAAAGTTTTTAAAATGAGCTCATGTGTGCATTCATGAGACCTTTACATGGAGCTGCCATGTTTGTAACTTGATGCTTTCTTACTAGTGATCAGCTGCAGGGACCACAGAACAATGGAGGTTTCGTTCTGTGCAGAGAGGAATGTTTGGCACTCCCCTTGAGCAAGTTTTATTCAAAGTCAAAGGAAAAAAAACAAATTTTTCAAACAAGCTGTCAGTAATAAAAGGAAAATGCACAGATTTCTGTCCAATAAGGCAAAACAGACTCCCTGCCTTTACTGCCCACTGAGGGATTGTGCTTAATGTCGCGCGTCGTCACCCCCTGAAGGCCCATTCTGAGCCTGGTAATGGTTGTTTAAAGACAAATACAACAGTTGTTCACCGGTGTCCAGTAAGTGCTGGCTGTTTTTATTGAAACTGTTAAATATCTCGATCCAATCTGCCTGAAACCTGGAATGGTGGAAGTCTCCTTCCACTGACAACAACCTGATTACATTTTCTCCCTTTTAAAACATACTGACGTGTTCATACATGGATGAAATGTTGCTCATCGACGAAACAACAGTCCTGTGCAAGCTTTTTTCCACAACTGTTAGATATGATAAATACATGACATTTTAGTGATTGCAGTGGTGTAAGAACACAAGGAGGGCTCAGTGCACCACTGTAGCTTATCACAATACAGTTGCAGTATTTTTCCTGGTGGCGCATATGCAACGAGTCTGTGGATTTTCATGGAGTGACTTGCAGACGAGTGAGCTTTATTCTTCAACTGTGTCCTTCTTGCTGGTCTCCTGTCCTTCAAAGATGGGGTACTTGCTCTCCACTTCTGCCCAGGTCAAGGTGCCGTTGGCCAAATCCCGAACGATCACGGGCAGCTCGCTCACCTGAGGAAAGAGAAGAGTGTTTACGTGATGGTGTCAAATGGTGTGTGGACCTGTAAGTGAAATACTGCAAGGGTTGCGGTTCATTTTCCAATAGAATAGAAGTTACAACTGCAACTTATCAGTGAAATAATCAATGAAATATTATTTAATTTGATGATAGAAGATATAATAATAATGTTCCTCATTTGTAGCAATGTGTAAATGTGATGCTGGACCTAATGCCGGGTTACAGGAGAACAGTTTATCACCACAATGTGTGGCACAAACATCCCACCAGCAGCTTCATGTGACCCACATCTTGGCACCACTTTGACCAAAATACTGTAGTTACCAGACTAAAACAGGAGAAAAACAAATAACCAAGAAAAGCTAAAAGGTCGCTTTAGGTTCCAAGTGAAGCAATGGCTACTGTGTGGCTTGTGAAGGAAGCTGTATTGATTAAAATAGAAGAGTATCCGTTTCAAACGTGTGAAACAGACGACTGAACAACATCCTGTATCGACACAATGTCAGGCTCAGTTTCATTCCAGGAATATTCTCACACCATTTCCACTCCATGTCTTCTGCAGCTATTCAGAGATTTAAAGTGTATACCAGCCATATTGACTGTATTTTCATTATGCTGTATGACTTGGAGAAGACTTTTCAGATTTACACACCAAGTCATTGCTACAGTTATAACACTCATCACCATGGAAGCTCAGTTTTTAGCATCCAAGATTTCACCAGCTTCAATCCCTCTTCATGCACAGTGACACTTAATCAACTACTTGTGTGACGGATTTGTGGAAAAGAGCCTTTAAGAAGGACCCGGATGAACTTGATGTGGAGAAATAAGGAGCATAAATGAAAGTGGTGCTGTACCTCAGCCCTGATTTGCCTCATCGAGTCTCGGTCTCTCAGGGTGGCTGTGTGAGGCGTCTTGTTCACTGTGTCGAAGTCGATGGTGATGCCGAACGCCACTCCGATCTCATCCGTCCTGGCGTAGCGCCTCCCGATGGACCCTGAGGAGTCGTCCACCTTGTGAGACACGCCGTTTTTGGTCATCGCCTCGGCTAAGACGGACAACGAGAGAAACGATAAGTCACGGCAGAACAGACATTTCTCCACCAAGACAGAAATGGGACGTATCATTATGTGGACGCTTACATAATTCCCTCACGAAGGGCATGAATTCTTGGTTTTGGCTCAGAGGCAGGACGGAACATTTGTACGGAGCTACAGTAGCGGGGAAGCTAAAGAACTGGAACAAAAAGAGAAAACAGAAATTATTAGAGGCATAAAACACCACAAAACATGCAAACTGCTACAACAGAAGGGGTGAGTGATGCAAATCTTTCAAGGCCTTTAACAGAATAATCAGACCGTTCTAATTAAGCCACTACTTCTCAGCTTTCAGAAACTGTGACGTGAGTCATTCAGGAACTCAAATCACACATAATCCTCTAAATTCTAACGCCTGAGCTCACTGTTTCTTAGAGCTGAGCCCACCAGGAATAAAATACTAAAAAGAGTCAAGCTGATGTTACACAAGCTGCTAAAGAACTCACTCTATCAGGTACTGTATTTCCCTGTCAAATCAACAAAATCAGAAGCTGTAATTATTAGCAGCTCGGTAAACAACTGCAAGTATATATGATAGAAGGATTAAATCAGTTCCTATTGTTGACCTTCTTTGAAATGAAAAAACACTTACAAATCCATAGTTAGTCTTTTGATTACCCATTTTAAAAAATGCGCTATTGGAACGTCATCCGTGGTGATGAAATGTTTTGAGAAACTAATCAAAACCTTCATCACCTCCTCCCTACCTGCCACCCCGGACCCACTACAGTTCACATACCGCCCAGGCAGATCAACAGATAACGCTATGTCATTCCTGCTCCACAAAACTCTTTCCCAAGTGAACACTGGGAGAGGGAACGATGTGAAAGTGCTGTTCGTGGATTGCAGTTCAGTATTCTACACCATAGTGCCCTCCAGGCTGGTCACCAAGCTGTGTGATCTTGGACTGAACACCTCCCTGTGTAGGTGGGTCCACAGCTTCCTCACTGGCAGACAACAGGTAGTATGTGTAGGTAACCACACATCTTCCCCCTTCACCCTCAACACTAGATCTCCTCAGGGCTGCGTGCTGAGCCCTCTGCTGTACTCTCTGTACACACATGACTGCGTATCCACATCAGACAACAATATCACCATGGCTGTTGTGGGGCTCATCTTCCCCCATGACGAGCAGGCCTACAGGTCGGAGGTCATCCACCTGGAGAACTGGTGCCAGGAGAATAATCTCCTGCTGAATGTCAGCTAAACTAAAGAACTGATGGCAGATTTTAGCAGGAAACAGCAGAGGGTCTTCCATCCACTCGGCATCAGTGGCTCTGAGGTGGAAAGAGTGGACAGCTTTAAATATCTAGGTGTGACAATCACACAGGACCTGTCTTGGTCACTTCACATAAAGACCACTATGAAGTGGGCCAGACAGCCTCTCTTCTACCTCAGACACCCGAGAGACTTCAAGCTCCTGCTCCCAGGTGCTCAGGGACTTTTACACCTGCACTACTGAGAGCATCCTGTGCGGGAGCATCAACCACCTGGATGGGCAGCTGCACCAAGCAGGACTTTTCGGCCCTGGATGCAGGTACTCAGCACATTTCAGTACGCATTGTACTGTTTATAATTGTGTATGTGACAAATAAAGTTTATCTTATCTTCTCTAACATTATACTGAGAAAGGGCAGAGTACAGTGTAAACAAGTGAATACTAAATTAGTCTAATGAATGCAGGAGTCAGAAATGTCACTTTTATGTAAAGTATTTTGTAGCCAACTAATAAAAGTCTTGGCTGCCTGAAATCGTACTAATGCTTGGTTGTGGTTTTGTGACAGCAACCTCTAGATTAACAAAATGGGCCACAGTGCACTGACTCCCTTCTCCCTGCTGGCTTTATCGGCCATAAAT